TACGATTTGCAAATTACCGAAAAATTCGAGTCGGGAATAGGTATAATCTCGATTTTCAGTCCTGTATATAGCGAAGGCGGTAGGTTAAGAAGTGTTTTTGTTACACCCTATTTGATGTTAACGGTAAAACCTCGTTTTCCAATACTTAATGTGTTGTCTCGGAAAGCCATACATTTATGAGCAGTAATTTCGTGCAACGTACAAAGGTACATTTTCCATCACGTTCTTTAATTAAACCCACCACTACCTTATGGGGAGATTTTGAAAGGCCGCCACGGCAGGGAAGAAAAGAACGTGATCGAAAAAATAATTTGCAAACAATGATCGCTACATTTCGTGCAATACTTTCTTGTCTTTCTCATAAATGACCAGGTACACCGGAAAGCCAGATAGCGCTATCCAAAAGACATACTTTCTTGAATATTTATAAATCTTTTTCTCATCAAGTTTGAAGCCTAAGTATTGAGAATTGCGGCTAAGTATTTTTCAATTTTACCAATTACCGCGGTGTCTCTTCACACAATCCTCATCAAAATTTGCATAAGAGAACGTGATACGTACATTTGTTATTGCAGTGGCACGCTGGCAAATTTATGGCATCGCTTTGAATTCTTTACGTTCTATGCATACAATAATTGTAACAGCAGTCGTGACCTGGTGTGACCGAGAAAACCTTGCTATTTATAAACTCGACGGTGATTGGCTAATAAACATAAAGATATTTTGTTATGATAATATGAAGTTCTTCTATAAGTACACGTGTATCATTATTTCGTCATTCTATCGGTTAGAGATTTAGGTTCAGAGGGTCGTATTAAAACTTCTATCGTGATGAGCGTGAATAAAGTCGGGTTTGTTGGCGCAGGAAAGCTCGCTCGTGTATTAACTATGGGGTTTATACGAGCAGGGATTGTGACAGCCAAAGATGTTATAGCTAGCGCACCCACAGAACGTGATATCGAAGCCTTTCGAGACATTGGTTGCCCTGTTACCACAGACAATAAAGCCGTTGTTAAAGATAACTCTGTCATTATTCTCGCTGTTAAACCGCAAACTCTACACTCCGTTGTACGAGAAATAGCTCCATTGGTAACACGAGATCATTTAATTATTTCTCCAGCGGCTGGGGTAACTTTACGTTCAATACAAAATGAACTACCAGGTCGATCCCGAGTTGCGAGAATGATGACAAACCTTGCTGTTGAATATCGTGAAGGAGCCACAGCATTTTGTCAGGGTCGGTTTATGGAAGAAGAAGATTATGAAACGATGATGTACTTATTTTCATCAGTGGGATATTGTTTTGAAACTCCGGAAGGGTTGATGGACGTTATGACAGGATTGGTTGGAGGTGGACCTGCATATATGTATTTGGCTATTGAAGCACTTGCTGATGGTGCTGTAGAGGCTGGCGTGAATCGACAAGATGCTATTCAGCTTGCTGCAAGAGCAGTCTCTGGTGCTGCTAAGATGGTTTAGAAACAAAACAACATCCTGGCGAACTAAAAGACAATGTCTGTTCAGCAGGTGGATCAACAATTGCAGGTATATTTGCATTAGAAAGGGCCAGATTCCGAGGTGCACTTATGGAAGCAGTGAAGGCATCATCTGAACGAGCTAAACAAGTTGGGCTTGAAGCAATTCAAATCAAATCATATAGTGGAAAATAAGCAAAATAGCAGTTGAATATACACAGTATAGGTGCAATCCAACTCCTGTTTTCTTCAAGCTATTGTTGCTACTTATTGAAGCAGAAAAGGATTTGCATGGACATTGTTGCTCTTTTGCCAGCAACAAATAAAACAGATATATAACTATTACAAGTACACTCTCGGGAACTCTGGGTTGGCCAGGAGGGGTAATTAGCATTCGTAACAAAAAAAATTGTCTCCGAAGAAATAGATTTTACAATTGCATGATTTTTTCATGCACCTGGTGAAAAAAAATTGTGTTTATGCTTGTTTGGGAGAGCTATAAATAAATTATGTGTAAATAATTTTTTTAAGTAAAAAATAATGGCATACCTGTATTCAAGCTTAGGAGTTGGTTTAGGGTTAGTTCCCTATTGCAGCTTATATACTATGGTATCCTAAAATTTTGAAATTCAAGACAAACATTTTATAAAACACAAAATAAATGGTGTTTCCAATTTCTTGTAGTTTGTTCAATTACTATACATGTTCTAATAGTGAAAATCTGACCTTTGACCTGCATATTTATTCAAAACAGCTAGGAAAAGTACTCAAACTCACATCATCACACTGCAGTGTTTTATCCAGATCAGTGGATAGATTTAACATCAACTGATTTATTTATTAATTTATGTTAGTATTTCTTAACTCAAGAAATATAGCAGGAAAAATTCGAAGTATTTTCTTACATCAATAATTTGACATGCGCTAGCTTTGTCACAACCCTAACCAAATTATGCACACAAAGGCCCAGGTATTTTAACCCCCGTCCCTATGGTTTCAGTGGGTGCCATCATTGCCATAGCCATACTGAGCTTTTAAACATTGTTCATCATTGTTAGGAAAAAAAATTAGTCTTCACTCACTGCAAAAATGTTCACCCTATTTGATATTCATTAAATTGTTTTATTAATCAACCTTTTGAATCATAATAATAATTTATTTATTTACACTTATTTTTGTTTATATAGAGTTTTACAACAATTATTTACACATTATCAAAATTTAAATTGTGAATGTGAAATTATTCAGAGTGATTTGTTAATGTGAAAATTTCAATTTGACAGAAAAATTGGAGAGGAAAGATTTCCAGGTTTTCTTTTTGTGGGGATTATCCAACTCGTTTCTTGTCAGCAGTAAACTGAAAAGAAACGAAAACACTTTGAGATGGATGTAAATCCTATCTCACACAATTACTTTTATTATTGGTTTACCTGTCTTCCTGTATAAATCCTGTGTGGAACCAGAAGTAAAAAGCACAATTGTCATAGCCAACAGGAACATTCTGAAACAGTAAAAGAATTGAGTGTATTCTTCTTGATGTATTCCGCCAGCACAGACCTGAGACCTATAACACTCTCTTATTTACATGCATGAGATATTTTGCTTAAAAACAGACTTGGTTTTTCATTTTCATAAACCTCGTATACGTGGCATTATCTAATGTCACTTTGACACGCCACCACGCACCAGTGCATTGCCTTTAAAAAGTATTTAATTGTCCCCAAATTCTCGTTAGAGTCATTCATTATTCCTAACTTAACTCGCTGGTTAGTTCGCCTTTTACGACTTCATTTCTACTTTTTCAAGATCCCAAAGGCCAAAGCTGAGTTTTCTTTATAAATAATCCAGACAGCGCAACAAAAGCAATTTATGCACTCTTTACTAGCCATAATGATGGTATTTATATTCAAATAAGACTATTTAAAGTATCTCGAAATTGTAGGAAAACTAAACCACTGTTCATTTACTAAATCACGAGGACAAACCTTATTTGATGAAAAGAACATTATCTTTGTCTCCCCTGTAATGACAGGTGATTCTTCTCCCAAAGATATTGTTAGTTTGTCCAATGCATCATTCAAGTCCTCCTAAATGAAAACACAAAACTATGAATGATGTTCCAACTTGCAAAAGGTAAAACTGGTTTATGTTGTATTGAAGTCGCGCGACTTTTATGAAAGAGGCCCTACACTGCCTACAGGAAACGAACTGGGTGTGAAGGTGAAATAAAGTTAATACACTAGCTCAATGCAAAATTTAAAAATCTCCAATATTATACCGTTGATACCTTTTGCCCCAACTTGTCGTTTACCGGTCTTTCCAAAGTAACTTGGCCATCAATTATTATTTGTAAACGTAAGTCACTGCCGTTACCATTTCCAACACCTATGAATGTACAAGACTTGTTCAATATAATGTTGCGTTATGAAAATTGGCAATTCCGAATTTCATATATGTCTTTTTATATAAAAATATTTCTATAATAACAAACGTACTCTTAATGCCTTCAATTATTATGTGAGAAATTTTTCTTGGAATAGCTTCTGGTACATTCCAGTTCAAATCGTATATTATTTTCTCCATATATCCAACAAAACGACTCTATAACACATGAACAGTCAGAATATACAATGCATGCGATCTCTCATATGGGCATGCAGAAAAATGTCGCCAACAACCATGCCATGTGTAACGTACCTGGCTTGGAGTTTCAACACCTTGGAATGTTTTCCCCACAGTTAGATCAGTACGACGTTTACCAAAGTATTCTAAACTTTCCTGAAAATTATGTCATACATTTCTTCAATAATTCAGTCATAATTGTGTGTATATCTGTAATATATTCCGTTATAAGTACCTGGGACACTCTAAATTTTCCACAGGCCAGAAGCCAAGTACAAATTGCAGTTCCAGTTCGTCCTATTGCGGAACAAAAAATTACAATGTCAGAATGCATGCAAAAAAATACAGTCATTTTGTTTCTTCTTCTTAGTGTATAAATCAATTAAAAAAACAATGGAATGCACCTTTTCCACCTTTGCAATGCATAGCCACAATATTTTCGGGATCAGAATTTAACCATTGTCTAACGTCGTTGCAAAATTCCACTAATTGTCTAAAACGGGATGCAAGCTTGCAATCAAGCTAGTGCACTTCATCCAATTCAGTAAAATTCATACAAGAACATTTCACAGAAATAAGTAATAGAAGAAGATTAACCTTAATTTTTGGAACATTATGATCATCAATTTTCAAGCGATACACTTGATCTTTGAACATGGAATGATCATATCCTCTTTCACCTATAAACAAAAGACAGGCAACGAGCCAACGAAATTTGGTATCATTCTTACTGGTTGCAAAACATGGTCGTTTAGACAAGTTAGAACAATTAGGACTTACTGCACAAATTATAGATTTTATAGTGACCAGGATGTTTTGTCTCAAAAAATCGCGACACCTCCTAGGTTTGAAATATCATTTAATTAGTTGAACCACGACATGCGGTATGGTTCAACAACATTACAAAACTTCAGCTAAGATAATCGCATGATTGTCATAAATACAGATGTACATGTCTTCGAAATCTAGCAAATCCCCTCATTGAGGATCACAAAGACATTGACTCCTTCGAATCAGTCATGGAAACACAACTTGTCAACTTCTAAGTTCAACGATCAATGAGCACAAAATACCATTGTAAGACTAGCACATGCATGCACGTAGATAATAAAACAAATCTTACTGAAATAGGATTTCTGTACAACTTATATTTTCCGGACGATGGAAACGACATCGCTATAACATTTTCTAGAAATGTAGGAAGCAATTGCAAAATGGAAACTATCAACTATTGCTAGGGTTGTAACTTGTAACCTTTCCTTATCCTGCAATTGTCATTAAGTTACATTCATATTTACTATACCTGTGACGTATGTTAAGTCTAGATCGAAGCCGTCTTTTCTGTACCTCCTCTTATTCTGAGAAACCTGCAAATTGACGAATAGATCGATATGAACACAAAAACAATAGATTAAATAGAGCATGTTGCATATTAGATTTATATTAGACTTTTTACAGAAATTGCAGTATATAGTTGTCATGCACATATCGTGTTTAACACACCCACGTGTCACCATGCATACGCATGCAGAATGGAAGGTCTCTTACCATCCTCCGGGACGCTCTTTCAAACTGTTGTTTATCAGCAACAATACGGAAAAATAAGAGAACTCTCACAAGACGACCAATAATGATAAGTCTGAAAATGAGATGATCCACTTCTATCTCAGGCTCTCAGCTAGTTTTGGATGACTTTACTTATTATTATTTCTATACAGAAATATCATTACATATACGTCAGTTTGATTCTATACTTACTTGGCATAACTGTTATGTTGAAATGTTATCGACAGGTAAACGATTGTTACAACAAATGAGATCAAAATTATGACAAGATCAAAAACCTCCAGCCACTTTTTAAAAAATAATTTTCTAAAAATCATATAGAAGTGCATAGTATGAAATAAGTCGCATATTCCTCGTCAGCGAGTATTTCGTACACGGGTTAGCAAATGATGATAACAATCGTAAAAAAGTTGTATAAGACTTATTATAATTCGTACCCAGAGGAAAATATCCTTAAAGAAATTTCTAGCAAAAATAGTGAAACAATCATCATTGTCATTGCTTGGACTGCTATATGAGCCTAAAGAAGATAGATTGTTTTTATTTATGTTGTCTGATCTCTAAACATCTGAATACTATCATGAACTGTGACAAAACGTCCACTTAAATTTAACGTGAGTTAGTGTAGAGAGTCAATGAGTGATCACTACCCTCAACATTACAATTTAAACTCCTTGAATACATTAGAAAGACTCATGATCACGCCCTACTCAAATCAACTGTTAACAGTTTATTTGTATATATTCCACGACAGT